AAGGTAAACATATATTTTTCATTTGTTTTAAATTTTTACGATTTATTATGATACTTATAAAACATGTACAAATATAAATTTCTATAGGATGTCGAAGTTTCCAAATCAATGGCATGAATGAGTCTTGAAGAACCCACTTTTAATAGCTCTAAAAACTTTCAACAAGAAACAATTCCAGTTTCTCAATTATTAAATACTAGTAATGAAAATAAGGTATATTACCTTTCATAGTTCATTTTCTTTTTACTTTTTTTACTTTTTAATTTAAAGAAATTATTACTATAACAAATTATTGTTTGTCATTGGACCATGCAGGTGCCTGAAGAAGAAATGTGATGTAAAAGTCTGAACAGAAACTCCAAGATGCAAATAATTCAAGTGCAAAAGCATATACACATGGAGATCACAGAAGCCACAATAGACAAATTTCCTTGCCTCTTTTATCTTAAAGAGTTGCATAATTACAAGAAATTGGTTTTTCTTATTTTTGGTTTGGCTAGTAGGAAGCAGCTCACGATCACATTATCTAACCAAACTCAAGCATGAATAACTTCTTAGTGTAGGATCTAATAGGGAATATTTGATTATGTGGCTTCTTCTCGGTCCTTTGGTTCAAATCTTGGAACCTCAGCATTTGTGGGTAACTTTTTCGGGTGTGTATAGTGAGATTTTTATGCCACATCCAAGGCTTTTGAGTTTTTCCTTGAAGATGCTTAATTCTAATTACTTGTAGCTTCAAGTTTACTTGTTTCCATCTTGTTGAACATTAGATTTTCAATAAGTAAAATAAAATCTGAAAGAAAATAAGAAATGAATGTTAAGATGATTGTAAAAGCATATTTTTACGCCCAAAAATAAGTATTGAAGGAGTTAGATTGCAATTTGTGTAAAGTAGTTTAGGCAAAGTTGAGAAGAACATACAAGATTTAGCAAACCTAGTCACATCTCTTGCTGGATCAACAAAGAGAGTCAAGAGTAGGTCGATCAGGCAACTGAGCACAGAGAATTGGACCATCAAGCAGAATCAGTCACTTGAAAAGGTCAAAATATTGACTTTCTGGCTTATCACTATAAAAACAACAAATATACACATCACAGATATGCTCATTAGTCATTACCTGTATGGCCTAATGCAGGACAAGACCTGTAATGGATATTGTTTTACCTCACATAAATTGGATGTAAACTGAAATCGCAGACATTCATTTGTAAACAAGAAGAGAGTCACTGATTCAAATATTGATAAAGTGAAAAAAGTGTTGCCATAAAAAGCTAACTATAACTTCAACTTCTGCACTAACCAGAACTTAAATACATAATGAATGTAATTTGGTCATCCTACTACAAATTTTCTAAGCTTGGAACTTTCACATTTTCATAAATTAAATGAGATAGCTGCGTGTTAGCGCTTTCCAGATATAAATTTTCCAAAATATCAATTACAAGTGCTTAAATAATACAAGTATAATGTGAATATATTATCAATTACTTACAAGTGACTTATTATTGCTGAATTAATACAAAAGTTTTTAAAATGAGCATGGAAAGCTGCTAGTAATTATATTAAACCGTGGAGATGTACCTCCCCCCTCTGATAAGCTGAAGTAATATTGAACAAAGTTCAGTGTTTAATATCCAATCAATATCTATACATTTTCTTGATCCTTTCTTTAGCTTCACTAGTCATAAACAAATTTAGTATATTTCTCTTATTAATTACCTATTGAGGCCTTCTTCAACACCCTCTGCTGTAACATCAGTGTAGAAAGCATCCCCCACGTGCACCATTCTTCAGGAGATAATTGCTAAAGCATGGTCTCATCTCCATTTGAACTACTTAAAGAATCCAAGACTTTGACTGCGTTTTCCTTAAAGAGAAATTAAATAGACTGCAAAAACACTCGTCATGATTTGCAATTAGAATTTGTATGAAAATTAGTTCTATTAGTTTAAATAAACACATCTCGTCATGATTTACTTATTTCTCCACAAAAACACTATTCATACTTTCATAAAAGGAGTACTTACACTATAGTACAATTACTTCTATTTTTCTGCTCATTCTTTACACTGTAAACTTGTTAAAATTAAATAAAATAAATTATTGTATAACATGGTTGCTGCAAGCGTAACAGATTGAAGGTAGCTAGCAATCACTTATAAGTGTGGGAATGTTTTCAAACAAAAAAAATATCTCCATAGTACATGAATAAGCATTATAATAAGTGACAGGCAATCTATGCTACTGCATAACAAACAACATGCGGGCCACATACACAAGAAAGGTATGCAGGTCAATAGTTTCTCAGTTTTCTTTCGAATATAAATAAAAGCTTTTAGTCCTTCACCTTTCCTATCCTTATCAAAGAATGAAATCCCACTTCAATTAAGTTTGAGAATGTTAAAAAAAAAATAAAAAAAAACTACGCTAAAAAGGGGGAAGATACAAAGATAAGAGAAAGTGTGAAACTTAATAATAAGAATATAATTCAACATAAAAATACACTTCTCTGCCTATTAGATGATTGAGTGAATGGAGATCATACTAAGAGTAGCAATGATTAAATTTTCCCTATTGTATTATTGAGTTCTATAAGATTGTGCAAAACAACTATTGAACGTTGAGAAGAATTGCGAACATTAGCGAATCCAAAATCTTTTATTAATAGGAACAATTTTTTTAAAAAATTAAAAATTAATAATAATTTTTATCATATATACAAAAGAAATAAAACATAAATATCTATAATAATTATCGGCGAATTCAATATATAAAATTAGAGAATGTAAAATACAATATTTTTAAATATACGCTAATAACTTAATTAAAATGAATAATAAATTTATTTATTCACATTATAATATAAGTTCGTCATTAGTGATGAATATAAAGAATTAAGATCAACAATTTAGAAGATGAATGAAGAATAAAAGAATTTTTTTAATGCTAATGATATATTTTTTTATAAAATATTAAATTTACATGGAAATTTTGAATGGACAGAAAAGATATGGACTATATAGTTAAGATTTTTATGTTTTATCTTTTAAAGTGCATGTTATTATTTAGAGAAGTCTTTTTATATATGTGTGTTGTCAGTGCAAAAAGACGCTCTTACGTCACCTAAATGACGTTACAAAACGGCACTACCGACGTTATAAAAATGCGGTGGCATGTACCGTAATTTTAGCAGATTATTTACGTCAGTCCTAACTGGGTCCAACGTAAATTTTAACATCTACGTCGGCTATGCATTGTGTCCGACGTAGATATTAAAATTTACGTCGGACCCAGTTAGGGCCAATGTAAATAACTCACAGCTGCTTATTAAAAGAAGGTGCATGTGCGCGCAGTAGCTAATAGATTTCAAAAATTAACCTCCCGCGCGTTGTGCACCTTCTCCCTCCCGCACTAGCTAGCTGTTTTTTTTCCTCATCCTTCCGCCTCCTCCTTATCTGCACCTTCTTCTGTTTTTCTTCTTCGGAGGGTTATGTTGGTTTCTTCTTCGCGTGTTGATGGAAATGACTTAACCATACATCTATCTGTTTTTCTATGAGGTAGCATCTTCTATCAAGTTTGTATTTTCGGGGATGTTTTTTTTTTAATAATGTTTGTGCTGCATTTCGAGTTTTTGAAGCTTGAGAAGGAAGTGACCAAGTCCGGATTTGGAGCTGGGTCTATCAAGCAGAACGGACAATTCTCCAAGCAGAACGGCTCGTTCTGCAAGCAAAACGGGCCGTTCTCCAAGCTGTATGGCCCGTTCTGCTTGCATTCGTTTTTCCTTTATTTTTTAAATTTTTATGACTTTTTTACGTCGGACCTTGGCATGTCCGACATAAATTTACGTCAGTTTTCATGCTCCGACGTAAATTTACGTCTTCCGCTTCTACGTCAGAATTTTTTCTGACTTAAAAACCCCTAAAATGACCGACGTAAATTGTGTATTGTGTATTGTGTACTAGTGTGTGAAGAGTTTGGTAACTTACATTAACTTTTTTTTTTGTCTACCAAAAAAAACAGATTTTATTTATTTATTATGACAGCAGGTGTGATTTTGTGAACATACATAATGTTTTAGGAAACAAATGGAAGAGAGGAACCGAAAGTATTTGTGAATCGGGCACCTATGCATCGGTTAGAAACGACAAACATGAAAGAGATAAAAATAAGGGAGTTGCTATGGTACCCTAAAAAATAGAGGGGTTTTAATACATTTTTTTATATAAATTCATAAAATATTTTAAAAAAATTAATTTAATTATAAAAAGAATAATCTAAATTATACTTATAAAATAAAAAGTAAGATAAAATTATAGAAATTAAAATTATAAGATTTTAATAATATTATAAAATATTAAAAAAGAAAAAAATTAATAAATAGTAAAAATAAAAAATTATTAAAATTACAATATAAAAATTCTAAAATTTAAGACAAAAAGACAAAAAAAAATATACTTAAAAAATTATTAAAATTAAAATATAGAAATTCAAAATTTTTAAATAAAAAGATAAAAATATACTTAAAAAATTATTAAAATTAAACTATTTAAATATATAATAATATTATTATAAATAAATTAGAATATATAAAATAAAAATAAAATAACTAAATAATTTAAAAATTAAAAGAATAAAATATTATAAATATTATTTAATTAAATTATTAAAAATATAAAATATAAAAAAACTGTACAGGTACCCTCTCAAATAAAATAGGTATCGTAGAATTTCTCTAAAAATAAAGACCAAGAGCATGACGTGGATTATGTACTTGAGTCTCGAAACCTCCACCTTTTCCACCCTGCATCCGCCACGTACACCCACAGTACACCGACCTCGCAACCCAGACCGACATTTCCGGGCCCACACAGTACACCTCAATTACTTTGCTGTTCCATTTTCATAAGAGTGTGTTTGTCGGTGACACGTGGTGCACTGTGATTGGCGTTCATTTTCTCAATCGCGTAAGATGCGTGTCATGCCAAGTATAAAACGATGTCTCCCTAGACCTAACTTCGCATTCTAATTAAAGCATCTTCTACATTCTTCATTGCACACTCACTCACTTTAAATACTTCGCATCTCATCTTCATTTGCTCAGCTTCTGTTTGTAACTGCAAGTGATCGTCATGGCTGAGGAGAAGCAGCACAAGGACAACGAGTACGACAACACTGCTGAGGTGGAGGTCAAAGACCGTGGGGTTTTAGATTTTCTCGGGAAGAAAAAGGAAGAAGAGGCCATCGTCACTGAGTTCGACAACAAGGTCAAGGTTTCTGATGAACCTGAGACCAAGCTGCAGGTGGAGCAAGAACCAGAAGAGAAGAAACACACCCTTCTTGAGAAGCTCCACCGATCCAACAGCAGCTCCAGCTCCGTAAGTTCATTGTATTTTTTAGTCTTTATTAGGCCATATGCATGCATGAAAGAATACGTAAATGAACTCTTATTATATGTGTTTGCAGTCGAGTGATGAAGAGGAGGAAGGAGAAGGTGGAGAGAAGAAGAAGAAGAAGAAGAAAAAGGATAAGATAGGAGGTGGTGGTCGCAAGGAGCAAGACACCACTGTTCCGATTGAGAGAGTGGAGGTTGAAGCAGACAGTGAGGATAAGAAGGGTTTCCTCGACAAGATTAAGGAGAAGCTGCCAGGTCAGCACAAGAAGGAGGAGGAGGAAGTGCCTGTGCCTCCGACATCATCAGAGTGTGATGCTCCCCACACTGAGGCTCATGAAGGGGAGAAGAAGGGCCTTTTAGATAAGATCAAAGAGAAGCTTCCTGGTTATCACCCCAAGACAAATGAGGACAAAGAAAAGGAGATCGGAACTCATTGAGCCTCAGAGTATTGTGTTTTGTAAGATCATTGTGGTGTGTTTTACTTTATTTCATCGTCAGCTTATTTGTGTTGTTGGTGCTTCTAGAGATGTACTTCATATGTATATTAAAATATATATGGAGTTTGTCTATATTGTTTGAAGAAAAAAGAGAGTAAAAATGTGTTCAAAGTAAATGAATATTGGAATTCTGTGCTTTATTTGGGTAGAGTACTGAAATCGATCTAAAAGTTGAAAGTAAAAATGGTAATCCCATTGCCATTATAGATCCTTCGGAGGATGACATTCTCGTGTAATGTATGTTTTCGCTGTTAATTTTGGCTGAGATAAGACCCTTTTGTCCGTAAGATATAATTAAATAATAGTGCGGGTTATCCCACTTCAATCCAAAGCCTATCTTTAAAATGATGAGTGTGGACCCTGATATGGTTGATGACGTGGACAATTGGTATCGTTTCAAAGTGATTTATTAAAACTGTAGGCTTTTGACCAAAGTAGGGCACTTTCGAAAGTTATTTACCTAAACGGGGTTCTTTTGAAATTATTTACGCCTTTGGGGCTGTTTACAACGGTGTCGCTATGGGCCATAGCGACACCAATGCCACGTGGCTTTTTTTACACTTCAGGAAAGCCATGAAAACCATATTAATAGTGTTGCTACAACAAGTAATTTTTCTCCTTCAACAACAGCAAATGCAAGAGGAAGAACATTGTTATTACCATCTTGTGTTGTAGCAATGAGCAATGTACCTCGATACTTGCCATATAGATGAGTGTCATCAACTTGTATCAACGGTTTACAAAAATTAAAGGCATCACAACACGGCTTGAATGTTCAGAATAATCTGTGAAATTGACGGTAACCACGATGACAACGATTACCAACAAAAAACTCATCCTGACACAGATCATAAAATGACCCTGGAGCAATTTCTTTCATGTATTGCAGCCATCGAGGTAAATAAGCATACGATTCTTCCCAATCTCCAAAAACGTTAACAATTGCTTTTTGTTTCGCCATCCAAGCCTTTCTATAAGATATTTTAAACCCAGTTTGAGATGTTATTCTCTCTTGGATAAGGCTAATCTTGATTGATGGATCTTGGTTAACCATTCCTACATATTAAATATTAGTAAACACTAACATAAATTATTATTAATATAAACTATAAACTTTGCAGAACTTACCTTGTATGAATGTTGCAATTAACTCAGAATCTAACTTAGCATGATCTTGGGACAAAGACATGTTCAAACACGTATGACGTCCACCCCACTGAGTCACTGTCCACTTATCAGATCTCTTTGACTCAATGGCTCTCATGTACCATCCACATCCATCATGTGCATTTGGACATCTAACAACCCACTTAGTCTTTTTCGACTCAACTACATAAAAACTTTGATGCATTCTCATTGCATTTTGCTTGACTGCATTTTTAACTTATTTTTAACTGCATCCTTATTCTCAAACTCCAACCCCACATATAAATCTTGCCCAATTGACCAAGTACTACCGACATCCATCCCTGGGATATCTTCTTCATCGGGATGATTCCAATTGATGTTAGTGTAGTGGGGTAAATTACCCCAAAATTGACTTCCACCTATTTTAATAAGAATGAATTTAGTAATTTCCATAAAATCAAATTCAACAATTTATTTTAAACAAATAACAAATTATTGACAAATTTAATTTTCCGATGTTACCTTCAGTAGGTGGATACATTGAAATTGGTTCAACCATTGGACTATTAACAAGAACATCCGGCTGCACCTCATCATCAGATGGTTCACAATTATCAATTTCATCTTCATTCGATTCATCAATGCTTTCATATGATGATGAAACATGATAGTCTTCATCTTCATCGTCATCTTCATCTTCATCTCTTGTGATCAAAGGTGATCGTTGAATTGACAAATTTTCTAATGAAAAAGTAGAAGATTCTTGCATACCTATTTCAGCATATAATTCCATTATTGGCATCACATTCTGGCTCTGAAATGCTTCTATCATGCATTGTACATCATCATCGTCACTCAATTCCAATGAAGAATATATGTTGTTATCACCTTGTGAAACTAAAAATCTGTAACTTACAGATAATATCACTTGATTTGAGTTAAGATTAAATTTGTTGTGAATCCTTCTCTTTAATATATCCAAAGTGATACCTCGTTTAATATACATTCCTTTTTTTGGTCCATCAAATGTTACACCTTCAGCACCTTCATACATCTTTCCAGTGTAAATATAAGCAATCATTTGATCCATAATATCTGCAACAACAAAAAATTAATTAGTGCAAATACCTACAATTTATATCTTAACAAAAACAAAATTATACTCACCGAATCAGAAACAAATTAAACGTAATTAGCTCAGAGATTTAAATCAACCAAAACGTAACTAATAAATATATGATTTCAACTGTGAAAAAAACGTAGCTAGGAGGGGGGTATATATAGTGATATTGTCGCTGTAGGCCATAGCGACACTAAGAGTCGCTGTAGGCCACAACGCCTATTTAAAATAATTTAAAGGACCAAAATATATATATAGAAAAACAATATAAATTACAGAAAAATAAACTTTATAATTACAAATTTATATTTAACTGCTAAATATAAATTAAACAAATTTCCAAACAAAATAAGTTAATAACTAAAAAAAAAAAATTAATTAGTGGCGCTGTGGGCCACAGCGACTTTGTGTCGCTATAGGCCACAGCGCCACTTACATAAATAATTAAATCTATTTTTTAAAATTACGTTTTTAAATAAATATTTTTTATTTTTATAAATATATAATAAGTAAACTCAGATAATTATTTTAAGGTTACATTTAAATTATTTTAGTTTTTTCATTTTTTTTTTCTTAAATGGTGTCGCTATGGGCTACACCATCTTTGTTGGCCCACAAACTGTGTTGGTCCAGCCCATAGCGACACTGTTGTGGCTCATTCCAGCCATCCCTACGCCAAAAAAAAAAAAAAAAGCCACGTGGCAAGGGTGTCGCTATGGGCCATAGCGACACCGTTGTAAACAGCCCCAAAGGCGTAAATAAATTCAAAACAGCCTCATTTACGTAAATAACTTGGTCAACGACCCCACTTTGGTCAAAAAGCCTAAAATTATACGTCCCAGTATATCATTTAGGGATCTTTTTGACCGGTGCATCCTTCCGCTATTTTTTCTAAGAGTTTTTTTTTTTATTTTAATATTTGCTGATTAGTCTATCATCTAGGTATTTATCTCATAAAGTGTATGTGTGTTGATAAAATGTCAAAGTTAAGATATATTTAGATTATAATTAAATGATAAAATGTCAAGTTGATATATTTAGATTATAATTAATAAATATTTGTTAAATATCTCTTTTGGTCCTTTACAATATTTTTTGTTTCAATTTAGTCTCACTTTAATTTTTATCTTAATTTGATCCCCAATAACTTAAATTAGTGCAATTTGGGACTTTCGTCCAAATGATTTAGACGGAGTTAACTGTTGGTCACGTGGCATCTACGTGGATGCGCACGTGAACGCCAAAATTCTTGAAAAAACCTGAAACTAGAACGACCTGTTCTAAAACCAGAACGGGTCGTTCTGATTTTAGAACGGGCCATTCTTATTTTAGAATGGGCCGTTCTGATTTTAGAACGGGTCGTTCTGGCTTTAAAACGGCCCGTTCTGAATTCAGAACGGTCCATTCCAGAACGCCATACTTTTTATTATTATTTTTTTATTATATCTATATTAATAAATATATAATATATAATACAATAATTTAATATTCATTTATGAATAAAACTAAAAAAAATCAAATAAGATAAGACTTTCCAAAATATTTCTTTGATTTGAATTTATCCAGTTCAAAATCTTGACTAAAATGCCGCAATATATTTCAAAAATTGAAAGTAAAATTCAGGGTTTAGGGGTACCTCCTCAAGAACAGGTTGTTATTGTTAGGGTACATCGTCAATGACTTTAAGGAAAAACACTGTTTCGTTTTATCCTTGACTGTATAGTGTCAATTTGGTAGTAAGTGATTCACTCCAGTTTGACTAACAATGAAATAAAACTTGTTACCATTGTCCTTAGTGATACACTGCATCATCCTTAATGATATACTGTATAGCCCAAATGTTTAGCGATTGAAGTTATTAATCCTCATTAACAATATTACTAAATCTAGTGTTTGAAATGCTTTGTATTTTCCCTAAAAAAAATGCTTTGTATTTTGGTTTTTTTGTGCACGAAATTCTGGACCAGAACGGCCCGTTCTGGTTATACTGTTGATGTGTTAATTTTGGACCTGGAACGGCCCGTTCCAGGTGCAAATTTTACACACCAATAATGTAACCAGAACGGGCCGTTCTAGTTTCAGAATGGGCCGTTCTGGTTCCAGGTGTATTCAAGTATTTTTTGATCCACCTACGTGGCATTTACGTGGCATCCACCTGGCATCCACGTGGCCACCAGTTAACTCCGTTTAAATCATTTAGACGGAAGTCCCAAATTGGAACGATTTAAATTATTGGGGACCAAATTGAGACAAAAAATTAAAGTGGGACTAAATTGAAACAAAAAAATATTGTAAGGGACCAAAAGAGGTATTTAACCATAAATATTTTATTTGATTTGATGACTAACTTAAAAATTAAAGTACTTTATCAATAACATATGTATTATAATCCAAGCGTGTAGTTTAGCAGTATGGGTTGATCTACGCTTAAGCAAGATTAGGGGTTCGAATCCTGCCTTGTGTATGCAGTCACGTTAAATCTTGGGACCAGCTATCTCACCCTTTGAAGTACCTCCAACGTAGCGAGGAGATTAGTTACCGTTATCGACGGTAAATACTCCAGAAACGAACAAAAAAAAATAACATATGTATTATAAGAATTGTGTAATAGTTACGGTAACGATAATAATGATTAATTAATAATTTATTAATAATATTAATGGTACAATACTATTTGGGGGATTGAGAAATAAAAATAAGAGATTTAGTATTAAAGAAAAAATGTTTAATATATAAATGTTTCCCCCCATAAAGGAAGTATATTGGACAAGTGTTATGGATTTAGATAGTTGCTAAGTTTTCTGGTGATCATTCTCCATCTTTCATACCTTGATTAAGTATTATGTTGATAAAATGTCAAGTTAAGATATATTTAGATTATAATTAATAAATATTTTATCTGACTTGATGACTCAAGCAAAATTCAAGGTACTTTATTAATAAAATATGAACTCCAAGAATTGTGTAACAGTTACGATAACGCTAATAATGAATAATTAA